TTTTATATATTTTTATCTTTACACATATATACAATATATATATATATATATATATATATATATATATATATTATTAAGAAGATATATTTTGGTAATCACTTTTTTATTTTTCGCTTTTTAGTGGATTATTATACCTCGTGCATGTAAAAAAATTCCTTATATCTTGTCTGAATAATTATTCATAACTTCTAATATTTGTTTGTGTGTAATTATTAGAGATACGAAGTGTCTCAATTCTCAATCCCTCTAATTATTAATAAAAGAGAAACTTGGTACCTCTTTATATTTATTTTTTTCTATTTTTATTTTTAATAAATTATAGTTGAAAAAAATTGAAAAAAGGTAATTATATAGATGAGTGGATGTGTGTTTTTTTTAATATTATTATTATGAGTGAGTAATTTTAAATATATCTTATTTAAACATAAAAGCGTTCCATCAAAAGTGCATATATATTAAATTATAGTTGGAAATTTTTTTGAAAAAAGGTAATTATATTGATGAGTGGATGTGCGGTTTTTTTAGGAGTGAGTAATATTAAATATGTCTTATTTAAGGGTAAAAATGTCTCATTAAAAGTGAAAATCGTAAAATGTAATTATTAATACATATTCTCTTTATAATATATATATATATATATATTAAATATAACAACTACTTAAAATAAAAGATATATTAGAATATATTTTAAATTTATGGTGGAATTAATTATTTTTAATATTGATGATTTCTTCTATAATATTTATAATTAGGATTTAATGTTTTATAATTAAAATTTTAAAAATTGAATCAGACTGGTCAATTAGACTAATTGAATTGGTAGTCTAGTCGATCTTAAATAAGATAAAAATTAAAATTTAAAATAGATATAAATTTATTAAAATTTATAAATATAAAATATATTTAATATAAATATTTAAAAAAAAATTAATAAAAATCTAATTAATAATATAGAGACTCAATCCCTGGTAATTAATAATGGGAAAATTTGGAAGCCGTCTCTCTGGACTTTCCTTGACATTCACAATTAAGGTGTGTGGTGTGCTCATAGCTCATAAGTCATAACAAAACAACCTCAAGGCTCAAGCACCCATGAGAGGGAACCACCACCAGCGTGCGGCCCAAGCCTCGTCCCTCACTCCAAACCCTTCCTCTTCTTCCACTCACCGCAATTTGGGCCCGCCAAACCCCCGCAGGCCCGCCCGGAGGACTCCAGGCCCACAACACCACCACCACCGCCAGCCCAACTTCCAATTCCGCGTCGTCAACAATCCCCAACCGCTTCCTTCCTCCGTCCAGGATGTAAACGCTGATGTCACCGATCGCGTAGCTAGCTCAGGCAAGGCCGAGGAAGGAGACGCTGATGATGACTCTGATGCTGATGCTGATGGTGATGTTCAGGCTAGGCTTGGTAAGTTGTTCAGTAGAATCGAGGAACCTGAATTGTCCGAGGAGCAGATCAGAATCAATGATCAATTGCAGCAAGATGAGGTAGAAATAGCGCTGTAGAATCGGAATCTTCCATCATTTGGTTTCTTTGAATTTGTCACATTATTGATTTGGATTAGATAAATCAATTAAAATTAGAGTTTCACTTTCACCTAGTTTTTCGCTTTTGAAGATTTGCATTGAAGTTTGTACAAAACTTAGGTGCTTTTAATATTGTATTTGTTATTCTATCATTACTGTAAATTCGTTTCTATAATTTATGTTGAACATTAATTCTGTGTCTTTTATTATGCAGCCAGGTGAAACACTGATTTTAAATAGAAAACAGTACTAAAAACATTTGAGCAACTACGTCTAAATAGTTTATGATATAAAACTCTGATTCTCGTTGAAAATTAGCAAAAAAAACACTTTAGAGCTTCATTAAGTATTTACGTATCGATTTGACGAAGTAGAAGCATTATGGCACGTTACTTCTATTTTGCAGATGCTTGTGGTGGAGTCAATTTATGGAGAAAACGTTTTCAGCCTTGAGAGATGGAAAGATTTGCGCTGTTTTCAGGTCTTGGTGCTGTAAACCTAATAATACAGTTTTGGCTTAGTGTTGTTACAATTCTGATTCTCTGAAACATAATACTGACACTTTTTTTTTTTACATCCCTCAGATACATATACACATTGATGTTTTGGGTGAAATTCCAATCCTTGCTAAGCTGAACTCTCTTAATCAACTTGAGACTGTAAACAGCAATTCAGACGAGTTCTTATACACTTTCAAAGTTCAATATCTTCCACCGATTGTTTTGACGTGTTTATTACCTAAGTCGTACCCAAGCCACCAAAAACCTATTTTTACACTCTCTGTTAAGTGGTTGGAACCCCTGAAGATTACAAGTCTGTGCTCTAAGTTGGATTCAATATGGGCCGAACAACAGGGGCAGGAAGTAATTTACTCTTGGGTAGAATGGTTACATGGTTGTTCTCTTTCTCATCTGGGATTTGATGAGGGAATCACACTCGGGCCTTATGGCATGAATCATGTCCGGGATGAGCGTGTTGTTTCAGGAGCTGAATGCATTGATGTTGATATTCCTTTTTTACAAAGTTACAATGATCAGAGACACCATGAGAACTTCCTTAAAGAATTGCATCAATGTAACATTTGCTTTAGTGAATTTGCTGGTAATTTCCTATTTATGCCTCGCATATTTATACACATTATTACTCTTCATAGGAAAGCCTGACTTGGTCTTATACAAAGTTGCGACTAATTTTGAATTTCAGCTTATACCAGCACAATTCACAACAGTTACCTTCTCTTGTTGGGACTTGGGACTATGATGTATGTCCTATCATCACTGTTCATAAACATTTTCTTCAAACTTCATTGTTGGTGATTCATTAACAGTGTGACTAATTGTAATAATTAGTTTATTATCTATATGCAAGACTTGATTCTGCTTTTTTTCCCCCATGTTTGTTCAAATAGAATTAATATTGAACATGGTTCTCATGTCTGCCACTTTATCTGCTTTTGAAGTAGTAACCTTCTTTACTATTTACCAGGTAATGAGTTTATCCGGTTACCATGTAAGCACTTTTTTTGCCTCAAGTGCTTGCAGACCTTTGCCCAGATACATGTAAAGGAAGGCACCGTTAGTAATCTTCAGTGTCCTGAAGCAAAATGTGCTGTTATGATTCCACCTGGCCTTTTAAAACACTTGCTGGATGACACAGATTATGAGCGCTGGGAATCCATGATGTTGGAAAAAACACTTGCGTCAATGTCTGATGTTGTTTATTGTCCAAGATGTGAAACACCATGTATAGAGGATGAAGACCAGCATGCTCAATGTCCAAAATGCTATTTTAGCTTTTGTACCCTTTGCAGGGAACGACGCCATGTTGGCATAGCATGCATGACACTAGATATGAAGCTTCAGATTTTGCAGGTATGGTATTTGGATCCATAATTGGACAAATTGTTTAGTTGTCATAGACTCATAGGTATGAAATTTTCTTTTTGGTGAATAAGTAGGTTTGTACCCTTGAAATCAGAATTGTATTTTAAAAGTATATTATATGTGAGAATGTAATTGATTGATGATGAAATTTTTTAAACTTGATCTATTTAATGGGAACTATTAATCTATCATTAGATTGATGAAAGTCAGTGTCCATAAAAATTTATTGAGTATAGTAAGTTTAACAATACTTATTTTTAAAGTAAATGGATCTCCACAACTCAATAAAAAGCTGCTTTTGAATTTTCAATATCTTAATCACTAGCCTAGTCTTTATCCTCTATTTTGTCATCTATTAACCAAAAAATGCTTCCAGTTTTCTGATTTTTGTCCTAATTATAGGATCGTCAAAATTCGACTCAGTTAAAGGCAGATCAAAAGCGTAAGGAACTTGAGAAGATTAATGAAATGCTCAGTATGAAGGAAATTCATCGTGATTCCAAGTTGTGCCCTTCTTGTGACATGGCAATTTCTCGAACTGAAGGTTGTAACAAAATGAAATGCGGTAATTGTGAACAATACTTCTGTTACCGCTGCAACAAAGCACTTGATGCATCAGACCCATATGGACATTTTAGGTACTTGACCTTTTAAAAGCACTGTAAAACTTCTTTTTGCATGATTTGCATCTGCCGAAGATTCAATTTACAGAATTCTTTTGGAACTTATCTTTATCTTTTTCCCCATTCAAGGGATGGTTCATGTGAATTGTTCCCACGAGAAATGGTTGATTCCTGGCAAGAGCGTATAAATCATCGCCAGGCGGTGGGACAATTACAGGCTGAGCTCTTTCCTCAATGTGGCTTGGCATGTCCTAACTGTCGTCAATTTAATGCAAAGGTGAGTAAAGCTTTCTGTTTGTTTATTATAAAATGAAATGAAAGTATCTGTTGAACGGATTGATTATTGTTGTGTTACTGAATTGTAGTATGAGCTTGTTTGAGTAAACTTTTTCATAAACACTTCTAGGAGATAAAATAGGAAGAATAAAGGAAATAAGTTTCTTCATAAGCTAAAATTATTTGATGCATAAGTTAATGTCTTCTCCAACATTTAATTTTTAACTCATGCATAAACTAATTTTAGCTTACAAAGAAATTTATTCTGATTTTTCTTCCTATTTTTCTCTTTTTGAAGTGTTTTTGGAGAAACTTATCTAAACAGATCCTATTTGGCTTGATTGAGATTATGCATTTGGTTAGCCTGTGCTGTGAAACAGCTCTGGTGGACTCTATTTTGTCCTTTATATAAGACTCAGTTGCTTAATTCACTATTATTATGGAAGTCAGTTAATTTAATTGGCGTTCAATTTGTCCTAAATTTATATTTCAAAACTACTTCTATCATTAATAAGAATCTTATTCTACCTACTAATTGAATTAACAGAGAAATGACTTTAATTAAACTTATTTCTTGTTATTTAGATTGGTTCTTATAAAAATAACCAAGCAACACTTTCAAAATAATTTGGGAGTATCCAGTACCGAAGTGACCTTCCAGTATTTATAAATGTATTATATATTTTGACATACTTAAGTCCAGGACAAGAACAGGAAGGCACCCTCGTTCATTATAATTCAATATATTCTTATTTCTTACCACCATTTACACTCCATCTGCTTTACTTTAGAAATCATCTAAGCATTTTCCTTTTCACTGTCTGTTCTTTTGTATCTCCAAGGAAGAGTTTGTTTTTAATGATTGGGAAGGTTTGAACTTATTACCTCGTACAATTGTTAGTTGTTACCACTAGTAAATTGGTTTAAGGAGGACTATTTCCGGGCAAACTGCTCATTTTGGAGGTCTAACAATTGACGAATCCCAATTTCATTGTTATGCTTTCATGACTAACAACTTTCTCCATTACCTTTTTGAATTTATCAACAGATTGGAAATAATAATCACTTGTTTTGCTGGGCATGCCAAAGCCATTACTGCTACTTCTGCAAAAAAATTGTTAGGCGCGGCACTAAGCATTATGGACCCAAGGGCTGCAAACAGCACAGTGAGGGATAGTATAAGCACAATGTCTTAAGAGTGTTTTTATTTTTTATTTTTGGCATTGTGAAATGCAACAAGTTTTAATAGGTTCTTCTAGATTGATGAAGCTACCGTGATTAATGCAAAAGGCGGAAATTATTTGCTAAATGTGAGTTTCAATTGTATTTTGTAGCAATATAAAATAAATATAAATAGGATGTGTATTACATTTGAATTCTAGAAGAGGAAGAGAATAAAAGGGTTCAATTTTACGGCTGAAAAGTAAATCTGAATCAATTTTTTTTCTTTTTTCTTGTTTTTGAAAATATTCTCTACCTCAAATATTACAACATTTTTATCTTTATTTTTTTTTATAGAAAATATTACAACTTTATGTTGGTTGTATTGGAAGTGTTCGATATCTGACTTATCACACGGGGAATGCGCATCTGTCTTAACCAATGACAAGGTACTAGCGGAGAAAATTCTGCATGTAGCCTTTACATGGATTTGATACTTCTAACTTGGTGACACTCGTTCTAAAGATTCTTAAATTGCAAGTATGTCATCAGGTTTTTTTTTTTAAGGTTAAAACCCTTATTTGATCCCTTATAATATTTTTTATTTTAATTTAGTCTTATTTTAATTTTTTTGTTTGAATTTGGTCCCTAATAATTTAAATTATTGCAATTTGGGACTTTCGTCCAAATGATTTAAATGGAGTTAACTATTGGCCATGTGGATGCCAGGTAGATGCCACGTAGATGCATAGGTGGATGCCAAATTTCATGGATACAACTGGAACTAGAACTGTCCGTTTTGAAACCAAAACGGCCCGTTCTGCATGCACAAGTTATGTGTTAATTTTGCAATTGGAATGAGCCGTTCCAAATGCAAATTTAACACACCATGAGTGCATCAGAACGGACCGTTTTGGTTTCAGAACGGGTCATTCTGAAATCAGAACGGCCCGTTCCAGAATGTCAATTTCATGCATGCATTGACCAAGATACCGCACTGTGATTCAAATATTGAAAATAAAAATTCATAACATATCATAAATTCAAAGACAGAAACATGGTTCAGAAATTGAAAACAAAAATTCAGAACATAACATATACTAAAAAAGTTCAAAGAAATTACTAAAAAAGGAAATCATCTAGGTAACGCTGAAAGGAAACCCTAAATCACAAAAATTCAGGTTGTACTTCCTCAAGAACAAGTTGTTATTGTTGGGGTACATCGTCAATGACTTCAAGGAAAAACATCGTTTCGTTTCATCCTTGACTGTATAGTGTTAATTTGGTAGTAAGTGGTTCACTCTAATTTGACTAACAATGAAATAAAACCTGCTACCATTGTCCTTAGTGATACATTGTATCGTCCTTAATAATAAACTGTATAATCCAAATGTTTAGCAATTGAAGTTATCAATCCTCATTGACAATATTACCAAATCTAGTGTTTGAAATGCTTTGTACCTTAGGTCTTTTTTCTTGCACGATGCATAACCGTGAACGGTAGGCATTGACCATTTTGGAACCAGAACGGCCCGTTCTAATTTCAGAACGGCCCGTTCTAATTTCAGAACGGTCCGTTCTGGTTGCACTATTGGTGTGTAAATTTGGCATCTGGAACGGCCCGTTCCCCGTTCTAGGTACAAAATTTACACACCAAGAGTGCAACCAGAACGGGCCGTTCTAGTTTCAGAACGGGCCGTTCTGGTTCCAGGTGTATTCGAGGAATTTGACATCCATCTACGTGGCATCTACCTGGCATCCACGTGGCCAACAGTTAACTCCGTTTAAATAATTTGGACGGAAGTACCAAATTACAATAATTTAAATTATTGAGACCAAATTGAAACAAAAAATTAAAGTGAGACTAAATTGAAAAAAAAAATATTATAAGAGACCAAATAAGAGTTTTAACCTTTTTTTATTTATATTTTTTTTATCTATCATAATCGAACAGTATTTCAAACAAATTTTTAACAATTCACGTATTTTGTTTAACTAACTAAATTAAACCTCTTTATACTTTTATTATATTATAAGTAAATAAGCCATTTTTGTTATATTATTAAAAAAATATTTTCCTTCATTTTTCTTCTACTAAATATTATATTGAGATAAATATTATATTAAAATAATTATTGTAAGAGTTAATAAATTTATCTTACATATTTTTTTAAAATGATGTAAAAATATTTTATTTTGTCGGTATATAACTTATTTTATTTTTAAAAGTAACATACCTACCCTAATATATAAAGAAAATATTCATTTTAGTAATCATTTGATCTTCATATTTTTATTGATTATTATACTCTTTTATTTTAAAAAATTAAAAAAAAAATAATTTTTTATTATCAAATTCATGATTTTAAAATTAATAGATTAATCATAATACTAGACTAACATATATTTATTATTTAATTTTTATTTTTATTTTTATTTTATCTTTAATAAAGACACAAAATATCTCGACCTAATTATTATATATAATAAAAATTTAATATATAATTATTGTAAAAGATTTTAATCATTTAAAAATTAGTGTTGGTGTAATTTTTAGGTTGATTATGTCAGGATCAACAAATATTATATATAATAATTTGTAATTAGATATTATAAAGTAAAACATTACACACTGTTTTTACATATTTTTTTCTCATAAGATAACATGAAAAAATTTTGACTCGAATTTTTTTTTTTTTCCTTTCAATAAAATGCTCTTAGACAAAATCTGTAGGATAATATTCTAAAGGCCTTTTTTTTTAATATATGAAATTGAAATGGAAGTAAAGAACTCATACTCTTAAAATCTTTATTCTAAAATTAAATTCATTCATCTGAAAGGGAAAAAATAAAAACTCTCCTCTATTTTATTTTTCTTGAGCATTTTAGAAGCTTGTTAAAATCCTTATATAAGATGCTGTAGGTTTAAAAAAATGTTTGACATAAAAAAAATCTGACAGAACAATAAAAATGAAAATAGCTTAGACCTGGCTTCAGTAACCTCTCGGGGCTCCACCTTCTTGCCCAAGTGAAACAGCCGATACACTTCAACTTCAGAAAACATCTTTTTTTTTTTTTTTTTTTTTTTTTTTTTTTTTTTTTAAGAAGGAAAAAACATTCCTTTATATTTGTTGAACTCTATCCCTAAGCCGTGGTGGGTTCTTCTATCTTTCCCAATGCTTCTGTATGCAACCTCTTCATTACTTTGTGTTTGTTTAGTTGTTCCAATTGGGTGTTGATGGGTGTATCTTCATGTCGCTAATATGCTTTTATGGTGTGGTTTGCTCCGCCGCAAAGTCCATTCCCAACGCCAATGCTTTTTCAGGTTCCATTCTTCAGTTTCTTCTGCGCTGATGTTGGAAGACCACGTGTTTGATGAAAGTCCAAAATCCTATGCCAATTTTTTTATTAATATGCCTGCACCCCATGTTCCTACAACAAGGAGGGAGTTGTTTCCTTTAGTGGCTAGGGTGTTCAAATCACTGAGTTGGACTGTAGCAAGTGAAATAAGGTTTGGGAGTTGGGTTGAGAGTCATGGGTTTTCTCATTCAGTCAATTGCTTTAGGATTATTATTCATGTGTTTGCTTTGGCGGGGATGCGTTTGGAAGTGTTTGCTTTGCTTAGAGATGTTGTTGGGTTCTGTAGTGAGGCCAAGTATGATACCTTTGAATTGTTTTCAACTTTGCTGGATTCACCTCACCACGTGGAAAGATCCGCTGTTGTGTTTGATGTGCTCATAAAAGTGTTTGCATCCAACTCTATGCTGGAAAACGCTCTTGATGTGTTTGTGAATGCTAAGCATGTTGGACTTGAGCCTGATATAAGGGTTTGCAATTTCTTGTTGAAATGCTTGGTTGAAGCGAATAGACTGGAGTTTGTTGGATGGTTTTTTGAGAAATTGACGGCCTTTGGTCCGTTGCCAAATATCTACACCTATACAATCATGATGAATTTTTATTATAATGATGTTGGGTGTGATGCAGGTATGAGACGGGCTGCTGTGATGCTAGGAAAGATATATCTCAGTGGGGAAAAGCCGACTGTTGTTACGTATAGTACTTATATTCACGGACTTTGTAAAGTTGGTTGTGTTGAGGCTGCTCTGATGTTAATTCGCAACTTGCACTATGAAAACCAGCCTCTCAATAGTCATTCTTTTAATGCTGTAATTTATGGGTATTGTAAAAGAGGTGAAGTGTGTGAAGCTTTGCAAGTTTTGGATGAAATGAAGAGCTCTGGGATATTGCCAGATGTTTATAGCTACAGCATCTTAATTAATGCATTCTGCATGAAAGGGGATGTAGTAAAATGTCTTGATTTGATGGAGGAAATGGAACTCTCCCAGATAAAACCATCCATTGTTAGCTACACCTCCCTCATCCATGGTCTGTGCAAAAAGAATCTGATGCAAAATGCAGTGGATATATTCCATAGTATTGATGCTTCTAGTTGCAAGTATGATCAGACTGTTTATGAAACTTTAATTGATGGATTTTGCATACAAGGTGATGTGGATTCAGCCATCAAGCTTTTGAAGGAGATGATCAGCAATAATTTGGTTCCTACTGCTTTTAGTTGCCGCAGTCTAATTAGGGGATTCTGCAAACTGGGTCTGTTCCATCAGGCATTGGAAGTTTTTAATACCATGCTTCAAGATGGTATTTGGCCAGATACTATCACCTGCAATTATATTCTTGATGGATCTTGCAGGGAAGGGCACTTCAAAGAAGCCTTGACACTGTTGGAGGACTTCCAAGAACATGGATTTAACCTCAACCCTCATTCATATAATGCAATCATCTACAAACTTTGTAAAGAAAGTTATCCAGAAAGAGCATTGGAGCTCCTGCCAAGAATGCTTAAAAGGAATGTAATTCCTGCAGTTGTTAATTATAGTACTCTCATATCTGGCTTTGCCAAACAGTCGAATTTTAAAAAGGCTGTGATCTTATTCACAAAAATGGTAAAAGATGGGATCAGTTTCAACGCTGCCACATATACAATTCTTATTAGCATATTTAGCCGTAATCGCAAAATGCATGAAGCATATGGCATTTTTAAGGAAATGAGAGAAAGGGGATTGCGTCCAGATCAGATTTCATATACAACTTTAATAGCTGGATTTTGTAATAACAGAGAAATGAAGAAAGCCTGGGCATTATTTGAAGAAATGTCGAGGGAAGGCTGTTTGCCAAATGTAATTACTTATACTTGTTTGATTGATGGATTCTGCAAATCAAACCGGATAGATTTGGCCACCTGGCTGTTTGATAAAATGAACAGAGATTCAGTTATTCCTGATGTTGTAACTTACACTGTCCTCATTGCTTGGTACCATAAGCATGGGTACATAGATCAGGCATATAAGCTATATGATGAAATGAAGGCAAAGGGAGTTTTGCCAGATGATATAACTCATATGGTTCTAGGTCTAAAAGCTGGTGCAATTCAAGAAGGCTAGGCAGCTGTATCAAAGCTTCCTTGATATCCAGCTGGTATGTGTTTTGACATAATTCTTGTATTTGACATCTCTATTACAATATGCCATGTTATTATGCTTGCTTGTGAATTGATAACCCACTTGACAAAGTATATAACATCTTTGTTGCTCTAAGCTGGATCACTCATTGACATCCACTTATATATATATGAATAATAATTTAGTTATTTGACATTAACCTACTAGTTATACGCAATTGCCCCCACTAGCTAGTTATTTTGTGACTAATAATTAAACTGTCATTTCTTTTATGCTACACATGAATCTTTTATGCATATGATGAGGTAAATTATTTTTTGCTATAGTACTAATAATAATGATGATTATAGTACTGGAAGTATTAAAAGAAATTAGTACTATTAATCTATTATTATAATCATCATCCTTTTTGCTTGCCATGTGTGTCACTGTCACAGAATAAGAAGATTGAATATTTCATATCCAGTGCTGTGATCTAAAGGAGACATTAGGTGGTAAAGAGAGTCAAATTTGGTGTGTTTAATGGGATGGCCCATGTAATTGATTTTTCAAGCATCATTTGTTCTGTAGTGCTGTATAGCATCACTTTGAAGAGTTCTATGCTGTGAATTTTTTTATAAAGTTAATTTTCTGTCATATTTCCCATTTGATTCTTATTTATATGTTCACTGTCATGATGTTTATAATAGGTCAAGAAGATGAATTTACTTTTTAGGAAAATGCTGAATCATCATGCTGAAGTGGGTGAATTGAAGTTGTAAACTATAATCGCCACAAAAATGGAGGTAGTTCTTTATTTTTAAAATATTGAGGTTAATATCTACTAATATACTTTATATGTAAAATTTAGTTGTTGGAGGAATAAAAAGAAATATGAAAATGAAATAATAATTTCATAAATTCAAGGAAGTGCATAATCTTTAATTAGGGGTAGTCTATAAAAAAAACATTAAGGTTTAAGTTGAAATGACTGCTGGGTTGTATGCTTTTGATTTCTTAAACTCTTTCTTGCACTATTGGAGAAAAAAGCTAGTCATTATGTGATGTTTTTCTTCTTGGTGTGTATTATGTTCTTGCTATTAAGAGGCATTTTACATTTGATGATTGTTACAAGAAACAATTCAAACTACCTTAAGGAGCAACAAAATTTGCATCTTCTTTGTACAGTGAAGCCTAAACCTTTACTGAGCAACTTTAGAACATGATTTCTGATAGATATTGATACTTTGATTGCAGTGCAGCTTGCAGTCAGTGCTATATATATGGTTGAGTAAACCTTTATGCAACACTTTACACATGCATGATTACAGACATTATCTGCATCTGGGTTCTTAGCCTAGTACTTGAGGAACAGGCTGTGCCTTGATGTCCATAAGGAAGATGTGTTCACTGTTCAGCATTTAAAGATGGGTATTGAAGTAATAATTATATTATACTTCTATTGGAAGGAAAGCAAGCTTCATCTCTCACTTGAGGAGATCTCATCTTTCAGCATGCATCACCACAGTGTTGGGACCAGAATACTTGGTATCTATTTTTTTAACCTGTACCATATCTTAGTCACTGAAATGTAATGTTGCTACACCATGAAAACCTGTTCGTTGGACTAAAAGTTAGTCACCAATTGATTTGGCTTCTGTCTGCTTTAAAATGAAATAGTGAAGGTTTAAGATGAGATAATACAGCAGGAAAGAGGATGATGAATACTAGACAGAACTGAAAATTTCCATTCTCTACTTCAAGATGTCATTGGAGATTGGACATTTGAACTGATTTGGTCCCACTCCTGCTTGCATTGACTTCATCCCGATGACAAGCATTGCGGGAACTATTTCTCTGGTTAGATTTTAAAACAAACTTCACTTTCTTCATTTACTTAAGAAAATTGATATTTATGGACCAGCCAGCCAGATAACTTTTACTCTTTTTCTTCCTTCTTTAGTATTATGTTTTATCATTTCATTTCTTTGAAGGGGAATGCTATGTTGCTTTAGTAGAATGAATATGGAAGTAGAGGACGATGGAGTGAACATTGACTACTTAAATCCAACCATATATGATGTTTAGCTAAACCTTCCATTTTTTATTTGTTCATTTGTAATGTTTGCATATACTTGATGAAATTGGCCGAGTCCTCTTAAATAGGTCAAACTTAGATAACAAAAGAAAGTGTTTTGCACAGAAATATTCACATATAGACTCTTGAAGCAGGATATTAATGATAAATGCATTTTCTGTAACGGAATTCTCAACAATCGGCATTTCTCTGCTTTGTTTTAAAAATGACACGAAAGAAGAAAAGTAATGAACATTCCTGAATCAAAATTATGTATCAATACAAAAATCAAAGGCAGAATCTGATTACTTTGATTCTGAATTCCACTAAATGTTTTACCTACTTATCTTTTTTCTTTGGCAACATCAGGTGCAGATGGAAAAGTAATGAACATTCCTGAATCAAAATTCTGTATCAATACAAAAATCAAAGGCAGAATATGATTACTTTGATTCTGAATTCTACTAAATGTTTTACCTACTTATCTTTTTTCTTTGGCAACATCAGGTGCAGATGGATGTTGGAGAAAAAATCAAGGCAGATGTGGTAGGGAGAAGCAGATATTTTCTGAATCCGATGTCATTGTTCTCCAGAAGTACTATTTGTAATATTTTTCCCCTTTTCTTCGGCATAAGCATTTTTGTTGAATGAAATATGTTCAGAGGCGTATGAATAGGGGACTATCCCAGTACCTGTATATTATTTTTTCCAAAGGTACTGGAACAGATGATTTATCAATAATTTACTGTCTGTTAATTGTATCTAATGATTTTTTAAATGTTTATAGTGAAATTAACAGCTATTGTAATAATTAATTTACAACTTACTTTGATTATGATCTTGCTGTCCCTCAAGTGTGAATGAACGTTCCCTATAAATAGGAGGAGGCAGAATTACCTTTGTCCTTATATACCCTCCACAATTCACTTTCCCACTATACTGCACCTATTTCTCTCGTTACTATTAAGTATCAATTTCTTCCCCTCTGCTTGGGAGAGGTGAATTTAAGGGGAGGAGGGAGAGGATGGTGGATTTGAGTGGAATTATAAAAAGACAGTTATGATTGGTAGAGAAGAAAAGAGTGAATTTGAGTAAAATTATAAAAAGCCAGTCATGATTGGTAAGGAGAAAAAGTGAATTTGAATGGAACTTAGGCAAGTCTATAAAAAATGAGGTATTTGAGTGGAATTTAGACTCAAGACATTAATATCTTGTGTGTATGACACTTATCGAATATGTTGAGTATGAGTATTTATATTGTGTATGATATTTGAATGTGTTTTGTAAGATATTCAAATGTAGTCATGTATATTGCATTATGTGTTATATTTGAATATATTGTTTATGATATTTCACCTATATTCCATTATGTTCTGTAATATTATTAGTCACCTATATTCAATTATATTCAATTATGATATATGATATATGATATTTGATTATGATATATGATATTCTACTATATTACATGTTAATCGGATATGAGATTATACTTCATATTAAATTATGTTACTTGTGATATTGATTTATGGTTGACTATCTAATTATGGTTATAATAGACTAATGCACTCTCTATATTCCAACAAGTTATCACCATAATGCATTATTGGAATAAAAAATTGTACAAACAAACATTAATGCATGAAATGGTAAAATGGTAATTTTATATATATATTTTTACATAAAAATCTAACTTAGTAAAATACAAATTTAAAATATTAGTTCACTTCTATTTTTTTTAACCTAATTTTATTTTATCAATCAATTATAAATTTTACTTTATTTCATTCTATTTCTTATTTATTTTTTTTTATCAAATTAATTCTTACACTCTCTATTATTCCTTCCACTTCTCCTTTTACATATCAAAGGATTTGTGTCACACTAATTTTTCCTTTTCTTTTCTTAATAAATTTATTTTGGGATATCAGTTAAGAATGGTTTATTATAAAAATTATGAATAGTTTTATTAAAATTACACGAAGGAGAGGGTTGTTATACTACTTTTTAATTTTAAAAAAATACTTTTGGATTTTTAAGCAATGTCTCAAGGAAATTAGTTAACATTCTCCAAAAGATTTATTTCTTTGTAACATTAGTTGATTTTTATTATGTCAATTAATTAAATATTACCATTGTGATAACTTTTTAACTATTTATTATTAAAAACAATAAATTGTTAAATTGAAAACTCAATTTTACATCTTGTTACAATTAATCTTTATATATTAAATGAGAATGATTATTTTGTATAATAGCATTTTTAAGTGTTTTTTTTACTAGTAAGTTTTTAGAAATTATTTTAACTTTTTATCTAATTTAATTTTAATTTATCATAATTATTTATGAATTAAATTTTAATATTTTAAAATAATTTATTTATAAATAAAAATAATTTAATATTATAATATAAATTATTTATCATAAATTTAAGGTTAAATTGTACTTTTTGATCTCTTCATTTTTATTTATTCTTAATTTTACTTTCCTATTTTAAAATAAAGACATTTAACTTTTTTTAATTTTAAAAATACAAAATCATTTTATCAAATTGATATTTTTTAATTTTTAAATTTCAAAATTTATTCATATTTAAATGACATAACATTTAATAACAAGATAAGAAAATTAAAAATTAAACATACAAAAAAATTATTAACGAGATAAATACCAATAATTCGTTAAAATAATATAAAAAAATTTTATAAGTTAATTTTTTGATAATTTTTATTCATATATAATGTTATTAAATATTATGTCACTTAAATAGTAATATGTTATCGAATAATATTAAAATTTAATGATCAATAATATTTAATTAATGATATGACTAAAATTTTATATTTTTTAAAATAAAAGAATTAAATGTTTATATTTTAAAATTAAAAAATAATCCCTTATAATATTTTTTATTTTAATTTAGTCTTATTTTAATTTTTTTGTTTGAATTTGGTCCCTAATAATTTAAATTATTGCAATTTGGGACTTTCGTCCAAATGATTTAAATGGAGTTAACTATTGGCCATGTGGATGCCAGGTAGATGCCACGTAGATGCATAGGTGGATGCCAAATTTCATGGATACAACTGGAACTAGAACTGTCCGTTTTGAAACCAAAACGGCCCGTTCTGCATGCACAAGTTATGTGTTAATTTTGCAATTGGAATGAGCCGTTCCAAATGCAAATTTAACACACCATGAGTGCATCAGAACGGACCGTTTTGGTTTCAGAACGGGTCATTCTGAAATCAGAACGGCCCGTTCCAGAATGTCAATTTCATGCATGCATTGACCAAGATACCGCACTGTGATTCAAATATTGAAAATAAAAATTCATAACATATCATAAATTCAAAGACAGAAACATGGTTCAGAAATTGAAAACAAAAATTCAGAACATAACATATACTAAAAAAGTTCAAAGAAATTACTAAAAAAGGAAATCATCTAGGTAACGCTGAAAGGAAACCCTAAATCACAAAAATTCAGGTTGTACTTCCTCAAGAACAAGTTGTTATTGTTGGGGTACATCGTCAATGACTTCAAGGAAAAACATCGTTTCGTTTCATCCTTGACTGTATAGTGTTAATTTGGTAGTAAGTGGTTCACTCTAATTTGACTAACAATGAAATAAAACCTGCTACCATTGTCCTTAGTGATACATTGTATCGTCCTTAATAATAAACTGTATAATCCAAATGTTTAGCAATTGAAGTTATCAATCCTCATTGACAATATTACCAAATCTAGTGTTTGAAATGCTTTGTACCTTAGGTCTTTTTTCTTGCACGATGCATAACCGTGAACGGTAGGCATTGACCATTTTGGAACCAGAACGGCCCGTTCTAATTTCAGAACGGCCCGTTCTAATTTCAGAACGGTCCGTTCTGGTTGCACTATTGGTGTGTAAATTTGGCATCTGGAACGGCCCGTTCCCCGTTCTAGGTACAAAATTTACACACCAAGAGTGCAACCAGAACGGGCCGTTCTAGTTTCAGAACGGGCCGTTCTGGTTCCAGGTGTATTCGAGGAATTTGACATCCATCTACGTGGCATCTACCTGGCATCCACGTGGCCAACAGTTAACTCCGTTTAAATAATTTGGACGGAAGTACCAAATTACAATAATTTAAATTATTGAGACCAAATTGAAACAAAAAATTAAAGTGAGACTAAATTGAAAAAAAAAATATTATAAGAGACCAAATAAGAGTTTTAACCTTTTTTTATTTATATTTTTTTTATCTATCATAATCGAACAGTATTTCAAACAAATTTTTAACAATTCACGTATTTTGTTTAACTAACTAAATTAAACCTCTTTATACTTTTATTATATTATAAGTAAATAAGCCATTTTTGTTATATTATTAAAAAAATATTTTCCTTCATTTTTCTTCTACTAAATATTATATTGAGATAAATATTATATTAAAATAATTATTGTAAGAGTTAATAAATTTATCTTACATATTTTTTTAAAATGATGTAAAAATATTTTATTTTGTCGGTATATAACTTATTTTATTTTTAAAAGTAACATACCTACCCTAATATATAAAGAAAATATTCATTTTAGTAATCATTTGATCTTCATATTTTTATTGATTATTATACTCTTTTATTTTAAAAAATTAAAAAAAAAATAATTTTTTATTATCAAATTCATGATTTTAAAATTAATAGATTAATCATAATACTAGACTAACATATATTTATTATTTAATTTTTATTTTTATTTTTATTTTATCTTTAATAAAGACACAAAATATCTCGACCTAATTATTATATATAATAAAAATTTAATATATAATTATTGTAAAAGATTTTAATCATTTAAAAATTAGTGTTGGTGTAATTTTTAGGTTGATTATGTCAGGATCAACAAATATTATATATAATAATTTGTAATTAGATATTATAAAGTAAAACATTACACACTGTTTTTACATATTTTTTTCTCATAAGATAACATGAAAAAATTTTGACTCGAATTTTTTTTTTTTTCCTTTCAATAAAATGCTCTTAGACAAAATCTGTAGGATAATATTCTAAAGGCCTTTTTTTTTAATATATGAAATTGAAATGGAAGTAAAGAACTCATACTCTTAAAATCTTTATTCTAAAATTAAATTCATTCATCTGAAAGGGAAAAAATAAAAACTCTCCTCTATTTTATTTTTCTTGAGCATTTTAGAAGCTTGTTAAAATCCTTATATAAGATGCTGTAGGTTTAAAAAAATGTTTGACATAAAAAAAATCTGACAGAACAATAAAAATGAAAATAGCTTAGACCTGGCTTCAGTAACCTCTCGGGGCTCCACCTTCTTGCCCAAGTGAAACAGCCGATACACTTCAACTTTTTATTTTTGGCATTGTGAAATGCAACAAGTTTTAATAGGTTCTTCTAGATTGATGAAGCTACCGTGATTAATGCAAAAGGCGGAAATTATTTGCTAAATGTGAGTTTCAATTGTATTTTGTAGCAATATAAAATAAATATAAATAGGATGTGTATTACATTTGAATTCTAGAAGAGGAAGAGAATAAAAGGGTTCAATTTTACGGCTGAAAAGTAAATCTGAATCAATTTTTTTTCTTTTTTCTTGTTTTTGAAAATATTCTCTACCTCAAATATTACAACATTTTTATCTTTATTTTTTTTTATAGAAAATATTACAACTTTATGTTGGTTGTATTGGAAGTGTTCGATATCTGACTTATCACACGGGGAATGCGCATCTGTCTTAACCAATGACAAGGTACTAGCGGAGAAAATTCTGCATGTAGCCTTTACATGGATTTGATACTTCTAACTTGGTGACACTCGTTCTAAAGATTCTTAAATTGCAAGTATGTCATCAGGTTTTTTTTTTTAAGGTTAAAACCCTTATTTGATCCCTTATAATATTTTTTATTTTAATTTAGTCTTATTTTAATTTTTTTGTTTGAATTTGGTCCCTAATAATTTAAATTATTGCAATTTGGGACTTTCGTCCAAATGATTTAAATGGAGTTAACTATTGGCCATGTGGATGCCAGGTAGATGCCACGTAGATGCATAGGTGGATGCATATTATAAATATCAAAATACTAATATATTAAAAAGCATCGTTGTTATTTGTGTAGGCGAAACATTTTAAAATTATAAAATAAGGTGTATGGGTGGTGTTTGGGACGATGCTAAATAGGTAACTGGAGTAAGCCAAAAAGGGTAACCACTGACCACAGCCATAAATCAATTTGTTTCTCTTTCATCTCTTCCCCAAATCCCTTTCTTCTCCAACAACTTAGGGTTTCCATTTTCCCAACAATGCCCCGCATTCCCTAATTACCCCCTTTCTTTCTTTTTGTCATTTCATTTTTTTTCCCTCTTAAATTATATTTCTCGACATGGACGGCGGCGGGTCCACCCCGGCGGCGCCGATTCCGAACGCGAACGCGCCACCGCCGTTCCTGAGCAAGACGTACGACATGGTGGAGGACCCTTCCACCGACGCGATCGTGTCGTGGAGCGCCACCAACAACAGCTTCGTCGTGTGGGACCCACCCGAATTCGCCAGAGACCTTTTGCCCAAATACTTCAAACACAACAACTTCTCCAGCTTCGTTAGACAGTTAAACACTTACGTATGTTCCCTCCTTTCCCTTTTCCCTTTTCCCTTTTCTTTTTCTTCACTCCACTTCGTCAGTGATACCCTTTTGATTTCGATCATGTTTTTGTGTAACGTGTGTGCAAGTGGGATTCAAAATTTGATCTTTCTGACTATTGTATTATATGGAGGAGTAGTAGGGTGGCATGAGGATTTGTTGTTTTGTTTGTGTATGAAACTAATGGCAGCCTGTGAATTTTAAGTTTGATATCTTATCCTCCTGCGTTGTATCAGTAACTAGGTGGAGCAGAAGAGGGAAAATTGACCAACAAAGCACTTTTCAGGTTAATCAGTTGCTTGATTAATAATTTGTTCATCTATTATTGTATATAGTAAATTACACAGTACCCCTTGACACATCCTGCTTTTCTTATCCCTACACTAACTTCCTTAACTGTTTGAAAAATATTGCACTAACACTCCCTTAGACATTACACAAACCTCCCTTAATTGTTTGAAAAAATGACACCATGTCCCCCTATAAGGAGATTATTTTAAACATTTAAAAAGCAGAGGTTGTGTGCAATCTCGCGAAACCTCGAGAATGTCAGTGTAATTTACTCTATTGTATACCAGTTGTCATATATTGTGTGAAGTATAGACCTAACAAGTTGTTGTGAAGAGGATTTGGGGGTTTACGAGAAGATTCTTCATTCTTGCGGTGAAGATGTTGTGATATCATACACTGGTTTGCTGCTATTTTTTTGTACAATTAAATTGGCCCTTTGTTGTGAGAGAATTTGTTCTTGTTTTCTGCATAGACACTTGTTTAAACTCTGTGCCGTAGAAACTTTTGATACTGCTGTTAGTAACTCAATGAGTGTTATACATGTTTTCCAGTTTTTATTGGAAGACTGATAAAGATGACATAAGGATTAGGGTGTAAACAAGGAAGCTCTGCTTTATAATTATTGTATTTATTAAGATTGTGCAGACATTGCAACTATGTTCAGTTGTGGAGTTAATCAGTTCTCAACTTTCATAATGGCATAGGATTTTGTTTCATGTAGTATGAGGATGTTGTATTCCTATGAAGCATAGACACCTCTCCTGTTTGAAATGTTACAGTGGTTTCCAACTACAACATATGTTGGACACTCCTCATTAGATGTCAAATTAAAACAATGTTTTTTTTGTCAGTTTATACACTTGAGCTGATACCTTCATACGACTCAGACACTTGAGCCAATACTTCCATATGGATGAACACACTAGTATTATTAAACTATTAAAATTATGTCTCCCACTTTTTTTTTTTTTTTTTCCCTTTCCTGGGGCTTATTATTATAGAAGAAAAAAAAAGTAAATATACATGAATGTATGAAAATTGTTTATTAATTCTTTTGTTATTGACTTGTTTCAATTCATTTGATTTCGAGTATTTCTGTGTGTCTCCCACCATATCACCTTTCAAATAACATTTTTCTTATAATTAGAGGATAAACCCTATGTAGTCTCTTTCTGAATTAAGCATAATTTATAGTATCAAAACATTATTGAGAGTTGCAATAAGTTCTGTTTTGTCTCCTCCATGATCCTATGGGAGCTATCTTCTAGTGTATTTTGTTTTTGGCACTACTTCTGATTTGCTGAACTCTGGTGCAAAAGAATGTGGGTTTCATTTGTTGGTTTAATTCCTTTCTTCAGATCAGTTTAACATAAATAATTGAGGTATTTTTGTCGAAATTAGCTTTGTCATATTTAATTTAATATCTGGCAGTATACTTGAAAAGGCTTTACTTATGGATATGTGAATTCCACTGCTTCTTGTAGGATTGAATTGAACCTTAAATAAGTCAACTATAGACAATAATTTGTGTGCCTGATTTGTCCCCAGTCTCAATTGGTGGATATGGTCTATTGTTTATTGACTAGTCTGCTTGAGTAAATAAGCAGTACGTTCATTAGTTATAAAGCTAGTGTATATCCTTTGTGGGATTGGTAAAACATCTGCATCCTAGATTGTCCCCTCATTGACCCTGGCTTGGGACTTGAGTGCATAACATTACAACTTTCATTGCAAGGTTGGTTCCAGTTGCTCTTGAGCAAAGCCACATAACCATGATTGGAGTTAGATTTTTTTTTCCATAGCTAGACTTCCTTGTGACCTTGTGCTATATTGTTGTACAATCCTTATCATCTCTGTCCATTTTTAGTTTAATTATGCATACTTTAGCGTTTTATGTAACAACTCAAGTTGTGTGCTTTTTTAGGGTGTGTTGATCTTTGTCCAATCCCTTTTTTTCCTTTTTGACATTGTCAATTCATCGTCATTATGCAGGGTTTTAGGAAGGTTGATCCAGATCGCTGGGAATTTGCAAATGAGGGTTTTTTGAGGGGTCAAAAGCACTTGCTTAGGAGTATAACTCGGCGAAAACCTGCCCATGGTCATAATCAACCGGCTCAGCAACCACATGGACAGAGTTCATCTGTAGGGGCATGTGTTGAAGTTGGGAAGTTTGGGCTTGAGGAAGAGGTTGAGAGGCTTAAAAGAGATAAGAATGTGCTCATGCAAGAGCTTGTGAGGTTAAGACAGCAGCAACAGACCACTGATAGCCAGCTGCAAGCAATGGTTCAGCGCCTTCAGGGAATGGAGCAACGACAGCAGCAAATGATGTCATTCCTTGCAAAAGCTGTCCAGAGCCCTGGCTTCTTTGCTCAGTTTGTACAACAACAGCAAAATGATAGCAATAGGCGCATAAGTGAAGTCAACAAAAAACGTCGGCTTAAACAGGAAGGTATTGCTGAAACAGAGAATGCTGCTGCTCCAGATGGACAAATTATTAAATATCAACCTCTGATGAATGAAGCAGCAACAGCAATGCTTAGGCAAATCATGAAATGGGATACTTCTCGTGTGGAATCTTTAAGTAAAAACACTGATAACTACATGATTGGTGATACTTCATCATCTTCCAGTGCAATGGACAGTAGCAGCTCTTCGGGCTGGACTTCTGGAGTAACTCTTCAAGAGGTCTCTCCAGCTACGGTGCAGTCTTCTCGTGCTCCAGCTGCAACTGGGACTCAAGGGCTTGTCCCCTCAACCGTTAAACCTGAAATTGTATCTGTACCACCACAAGCAGTAGCTTCTGAAAAAGTTACAAAGGATGGAACACCTGATGCACCTTCTATCCCTGTTTCTGAAGCAGATGTGATGATGCCTGATCTTCCTCCTATAACAGAGATGGTGACAGGAAATATTCTTGATATTCCCGAAGAAAATTATATGGCTCCTGAGACAGATGAGGGATATATGGATCCTTCTTCATTGGGGGTTATTGGATCATTTCCTGTTGATTTTGAAGGTATTTCACCTGATGCGGACATTGATGATTTGTTAGGCAATCCTTCTATTTGGGATGATCTTTTGCAAACTCCAGTTCCGGAGGATATTGATACCAACGTGGCTGAAGTATCCAAAGGGAATGAGGTCCAGCCAACCGAAAATGGATGGAACAAAACTCAGCATATGGATCACCTTACAGAGCAGATGGGTCTTCTTTCTTCTGATGCGAAAAGAGTTTGATTATCTATGAAATTTATATTAATCTTTCATATTGTTCAAGGTAATCCCTGTCCCAAACAATACACGTCTGAAGTGATGTTTATAATCTATAGTTATATTAAAACTGTCTAGAGGTTGAACACGTATCAACATTGTGTCAATTTTTTTCATCCTGTGCTTTCGCTCTCTTTACATTCTGCATTTTATTTTCATTATTGGCTTATTTTTGAACGTTGTTCATGGACCCTGTAAAGTACAGGTTCACTGTTCTAGTATATAATTACACTTCCACTTGGTCACTGAAAGTCAATGCTTTTCATTTGGTCTTATATGGCTTTAGTTTGTTGTGCGTACGAAGGCTAAATCTAACTTTCTCATATGTGCATTTACTTTGATTTTTTGTTGGACTTCATGTTGAAAACAAGTTATGAACTTGTGGTCTTGTCATGGCATCCTCGGGGAATGTTTGTGGTTACCTGATCAGTTCTTCCGATGTTATAGGCAATCTGTGAAGTTGAGTTATATGTGAATAAGATTACAGTTCTTTGACTTATTTTCCAATTTTCTAGTTTCCTTGGTGAGGAGGGAAAAAAGAGAAGACATTGGTAATAATTGTTCAAGGCTTCTGAAAAATTCACATTGGTTCTTGCTTGAATTGGCTTTCTGAACAAGGGCAGAAACAATGGACAGCAGTGGTACGATGTTAAGGTGCAGGCTGTTTGTTTCTATATCAATTTTGTTTTATCCTTACCGAAGTTATGTTTCAACCGATGGAAAATAGAAGGAACAAAGAAATTGAATGACATCAGTCACCATTGTTTGAATTGTTTATGATAAGATATATTTGAACTTGATGGAATTTATTCCATTTCTTTTTATCCAGTACTCTTGCCCTTTAATTTGGGGGTATGGGATAGAACTAACTTCTTGTTTGCCAATTTCCTTATCATTTGGTTTACTTAAATAATGAAATGAAAATTTCTATTGCGTAATAAAATATTCAAACAGTAGTATAGTGATTTAGTTCCATTCATTTTTATTTTATTCCTTTCATGAGATATTTAAAGAATGCCTTGAGGTTCATCACGTAAACGTGAGGGAAAGA